CCAACATGTTTAAAATTTCATATAATCACAATCATTAGAAAAGTTGTTACCTAAGTGACTACACATAAAAAAGCATATTTTTGTTCAAAATCATTATCTTAGCCATAAAACCATCTATAAGTAAATCAATAAATAAATATCAACAGTAAGAACTGCTAGATTTAATGAACCGCTCGCCTCTCTGATGGGATAGAGATTTTCCTGTTAAATGCATGTAGAAGGAATGATTTTGAGATTGAGAGCTCCCTGTAAAGAAATTCGAAGAGTTGTTAAGTACGATTTCAATAAATGTGAAGATGAAAAATACAAAATTACGACATGGAAAACTTATCATCGTGATCTGCTCATTTCATAGATGGTCTTCATATCATTACTTATATAAATAAGTAAATAAATTTATGACAGTAAAAGCATATAAGAAGTGAACAAACCTTGGAATGAGCTTGAACATGTTCTTTTCTTGCTTTCTGTCCGCTAAATTAGTAGATGGTATAAAATATCAATTACCGGTGGACGTAGCTCAACTGGTAGCGAGAGAGTGCCACAAGGGTTAGGTCCCGGGTTCGAATCCCGGCAACTGCGATGAGAGGTGACTATGCTAAATGCAAAAAATATAGGACCTCTTCAAGTATCGAGGACAAAGCCTCATTCTCTATCTGTCAGATTGTGATTATAGTCCAATTTACATCATCCCAGCGTACCGTCCGATCGAGGTTGGGGGCTTATTGTGTGGCTTATTGTGTGGACAGTGTTGGAACCTGTCCACAACAACTATGGCCGTGTTTGGGAAAAGGCGAATTGGCCGTTTTTTTGGCGTTTCAACAGATATTGGCGTTTTGATTTTTGTCAAACCGCTGAATGAGGCGTTTGGTAGATAGCGGAGGGGAATGACGTTTTTCTTCCAAAACGCCAAATCTCAACACGCTGGTTGGAGCAGCGTTTGAGTTCGCTGGTTTTGTTTAATCTGCACAAAAGTCTATCTAGTCATTGTCGGTGGGGAACTGGAGATTGCAATATTGCCGATGCACTTAGAGAAAGATCCGGTGAAGGTTAGTGGAGATGTATGAAAATTGTTATCTACGTGTACCTGTTCTCACACCCACGTGACCGAAGAAGAAGATTATTAGATGAATTTCTACCTGTTCGGATAAGAAATGTAGAAGCTTCATTGCAGAGAGCCAGAGAGGTAATCGAATGCAAGTGTTGCAGCAAGTGTGTGGATTTGATCTAGTCAGATGCCTTATTATTTTGGTCAGTTCATTTTTTGGGTTGGTCTTTTACGATTAAAGACGGTCTGAATTTTTTTTGTTCGAAGATATTTTTTATGTGTTTAGAGATAATTTTTGTTGATGGTGTTCGTAGCATAGCTAATACAAAGTACATATTTAAAATGTACCAATGTCCTTTTTTGTCTTTTTATCTATTAACCGCTAAAATAAAACATCTAAGTTACCAAACATCTTCCTGAAACCCGCCAAACAAATCCGCCGGTCAAATCCGCTGACTCAATCCGCTATTTACAACCCGCTAACATAATCCGCTAACCGCTAACCGTTGATTGCCAAACAAGGCCTATATTACTCCCTCTCTCCCAAAATGGATAGGGCCTCTACAAATTTTTAGGCCATCGCCTCACCCGATGTTGGATCTTAGGGATGAGGTGTCATCTTTTTTTCAAAAAAAGTTTTGCTTAAGATTTAAGTAACTGAGAAATGTATGGTTGAAAGTTGTCCATAACGAAAAGATGAGTTTACTTTAAAACTGATGAACAAGGAAAATACCTTGACCGAAAGTTGTCCATAACGAAAAGACGAGTTTACTTCAATAAGGATATTTTCTTTTGGACTGAAATTTACTGGTCTTTTATGGTATGTTTAAATCTGCTCTGGTCTGTTTAAGTCTGGTTTGATCTGGTCTGGTCTGGGATTGAAAACGAATTTAGGGCCTGTTTGGATCTAGTGTCGAGAGGTGTTAATAAGTGTTGACACGGGCCGAGAAAGGAAGATATGTTTAAGTGTAAGACCTAAACTTACCTCGTTTGTGAGAGCTAAAAAATAAAGTGTTAATAACGGAAGTGTTTTCACGTAAATTGACAAAAATATCCTCACACCTTTTAAATTTAAATATTTTATATAGCTAATTATTTGATTGCTCCATTATAAATATCACCATATTATCGTATCCAAATGTACATATTGAAAGGGGAGACATAGCAAATAAACTTCATTGCAGAAAGATAAAGAAATATACATATTATCCATGTACTAGTCACGCACAAAACTTAACTTTTGTCAATATACACCGAAAACATAAAGAAGAATTGAAGATAGGGGTAGGCATGACTGTTCGGTTTGATCGAACCGTACCAAATCAAATTAAACCAAACCGAAATCGAACCATTTGTAATTTGGTTTGAGTTTGGTAGTATTCCTCCCAACCTGTATTAAACCGAACCAAATCAAACCGAAATCATAAAACCGATTAAAACCGAATAAAACCGAACTAATCTAAAAAATAAATAATTTCTTATTTTTTTAAAATAACAAATCAAAAACAACTTACACCAAACTAAACCAAACCAAAATATAAGATTTCTCTCATTAATTTGATTGATGTTCATCTTTTTGAAGCTTTAATTCTTTAATTTTAGTGTCCAGGACCAGAGTTTACTACAAGAGTTACATTCACAACTATAACAATTATAGTGGTTTAAGTAGATAGTATTTAACTATAATTTATTATCCACTACTAATATATATTTGGTTCATTACTTACAAGCACCAGTTTTGTTTTTGTTTCAGCTTTATATATAATTTGATTCATTCCCGTTGTTGTTGCTGCTTACAAATGTGTCGTGCTTATATATTTTTGGTTTATATGTGTTTTGTTACTGTTTGCATATTTATATCTAACATTATATTTGGTTCATTACTATCGCTTCTTGGTTCATTATTTTGAGTTTTTTTTTTTCAATCCAAACCTTAATACTTTGGTAAACCGAACTCCAAACCGAAACTTAATCGATTTGTATTTCGTACAATTTCTATCAAGTCGATTAAACCGAAACCAAACCGAAACCGAAGAAAACCGAACCGGAAACCGAAATGCCCACCCCTAATTGAAGATGAGTAGAAATAGGCTTCAACCTATAAAAGTAATGTTAAAATTATTTTTTCTTGTTATTACACAATTCAGTACAAGAAATAAGCTTCAACCTATAAAAGTAATGTTAAAATTATTGGGGGTGTATTGAATGTGGAAGACGCAAACTGGTCAACGGAGATCACTGAAGCAATTGGATTACGTGAAGCGCTGGCTTGGGCAAAAACACAGAGGGGGAGGATAAACTGGAGACAGATTCTCACGTGGTTGCAGCTAGTTTGGTAAAACAAGACGGAGATGCTTATTTGGATACTATATTAGATGATATAAGACTCGATCTTCGTAATAAAGTTAGGATAGTAGTCATTATGATAGAGGATTCATAAATGCAGTAGCTTATAAGTTAGACCATCGTCTGATTGTATTATGTATAGGCTACTAGGGGTGGGCATAAAACCCGAACCGAACCGGTACCGAACCATCCCGTAATGGTATCGAACCGAATACCGGGTATTTAAACGGTTCTATGGATTTTTATCCCGTACCGAAACCGTACCGTTTGAAACGGGTACAGGACCGGTCCTAGTTTTTTAGAACCGAAAAATACCGGACCGAACCGTTCGTAAATAATGCATTTGAATTTTTTATATTTTTTCTATATCAATAGATCTAGACCAACAATTTTATACCCCAAGTATGTATTCATGTGTCCCTAAGATATCTAAAATGTGTTGTTTATATATATATATATATATATATATATATATATATATATATATATATATATATATATATATATATAATGCTAGTTTTTTATAGATAATTTATGTTATATTTTGGTATGCATTGAAAGAATATTAAAATTTTAGAAATCATTAATGATTATTTATTTCTAGTAATGTAGTGTACATGATTTTTTTGTTGTATCATTGTTTGTGCATTTTTTACAACTTAATTAATATGGTTTAAATCTTAGCTCTCAAGATTCAACTATAAATTAAATTAGAACTACAGAGTAATATTTAACCTAGAACGAAGAAGAAGAACGTTGAAGATTTTTATTATATTCAGCAATTTGATGATATTCGTTTTTATATTTTCACATGAACTTAGTAAATTAAAAAGGGAAAACTATCAAATAAGCCCACGTACTATACCGAAAAAGTCGATTAGGCCCTCGTACTTTACAAACACTCAATTAAGTCCTCGAACTATTAAAAAACGTTCAATTAAGTCCTTTTGGTGGGTAAGTAACCGATTTCCCGGTTAAACGACGACGATGGAGACGATGTGCTCGAACCCCAACAACGGTGGCTCCCGGGAAACAGGTTACATTTAACCGAGAAACCGGTTACTTACCGACCGAAAGGGCTTAATTGAACGTTTTTTAATAGTTCGAGGACTTAATTGAGTGTTTGTAAAGTACGAGGGCCTAATCGACTTTTTCGGTATAGTACGAGGGCTTATTTGATAGTTTTCCCAATTAAAAATGATATTTATCTCGTGCGTCATCGTTTTGCTATACTTTTTCTTAGTTGTGTTGCACTATTTGTGTATTTGTGAATTTTAGTTCTAGGTATGCAATTTCTTGTATTTATTTCAACATTTCATGTGAATTGGTTGGTGTGATGATATCTACTAATTGCAAGATTTGTTCAAAAATTTTAGCATGTGTTTGGCATTGTAACGTACCGTTTTGTACTAATCCGAAACGACATGGTACCGAACGGTTCTATCCTTGGAACCAGACCGTACCAGACTGTTAAAAATCTCACGGATACGTTACGGGTTTTACTAATTTACGGGACCGTTCCGGACTGCGCCCACCCGTATAGGCTACCACCTAGAGTTTGAGTTTGGGTTGATTAATGAATTCTTTTTCCTTTCAAAAAAAACAATGAAAAGCAATGAAATTTCTGTTACAAGCAATGACATTTCTGTTAAAGCAATCAAAAGATCTCGCGGGTTCGATCAGTTACTCCATTTGGCTACCGACGGCCTCATAAACACCAGCAGCACCGCGACGAATGAACAATGGGCGGCGACTCTGCATCAGGCAAAACATCGTTTTCCTTTCGTCACGATTATCATTTCCTGAATTTTTTAATTTCTTGTACGGCTAACTGATTGCACTTTTCGTGTTCATTCAGATAATAGGAAAGTAAATCAAAGGCAGAAATGGGGCCTGTCGACGTCAGATGTTTTGTACCACTTCGGTACCAGTGGGATCTCCGTTGCCGCTGCAACTGGCGTTACTCACCCTCTAGGTATAAACACCCAAATCTAAAATGTCATTTTCTTCAGTAATTTGATATTGAACCTGGTTTCATTAACTCATTCAGCATTTGTAAAAGTATGCATGCTTAGTTTTTAACTATATGAACATTGTGGAATGGAAGTATGCTAAGATTGCTAACTATATTTCTATATGGCGGAGGAAAAGATAAAAATTTCCAGGCAAATAATACAGAACATTGAGGACCTAGTGCGCTGAAGCATTAAGAACACGTGAAATTTAATTTACTTTTTCATATGCAATGATGATTAATTGACACAGATTACGGATTAAGAAATGCCTAATACTCAGCAAATGTCTCAGAGAAAGATACCTCATATACTAAGGTGTTTCCACAATTGTGCGTGGATTGATCAATGATGTATGTAAAATAAAAGGAATTTGTCAGTTAGTAGTCACTTATGTAACTTTACTTGTTTCTAAGCTTTTTGGCCATGGATGTTAACAAATGTAGATGAATGGTAAACTCCATGTTAATAACCCAAATAGCTGATCTTGGATGTAGATGTTCTCAAAGTGAGATTGCAAATGCAGCTTGTTGGGCAGAGAGGTCCCTTGACTGGAATGGTAATAAAGAATATTTTCTAGTTTCGCCATGTTTTAGGGGTCAAAGGTAAGTTAGTAGATGCTTTTTGCTTTGCAATACAGGGAAAGCTTTCTGCTCATGTGGTAAGGGATGAAGGGTTCAGATCCTTATATCGGGGACTATCACCTGCACTGATGAGGTCAGTTCTTTACGGCGGCCTCCGTTTAGGCTTATATGAACCATCAAAATATGTCTGTGAAATGGCTTTCGAGTCAAATAACATCGTGATGAAGATTGCATCTGGAGCATTTTCTGGTGCTATTGCCACAGCACTGACTAATCCAGTTGAAGTACTAAAGGTACATGGTGTGGACTGTGGATAATGACCTCATAGTGCCAAGTGGTGCTTCATGTTTTTCTCACTGCTGCTATGTTTCTCCAGGTTCGTTTACAGATGAATATGAAATCAAATAGAGGACCTATTAATGAGCTGCAGAAAATTGCTTCAGAAGAGGGGATAACTGCTCTTTGGAAAGGGATTGGACCTGCAATGGCCAGAGCTGCTGCTTTAACTGCGTCTCAATTGGCAACTTATGATGAAACCAAACGGGTAAACTTCTGAGAACTGTTTTTAAAGACCCATTTCATTAGTGTAGTTTTTTTAGTCACAAAGTCACAAGTCACAGTCACCACTAATCGTGTGCTTCTTTGATTGATGCAGGTATTACTGAAGTGCACTTCTCTTGAGGAAGGATTTTATTTGCATCTCATGTAGGTTTACTTTCCTTCATTACAACCATGGGTAGTGGTGTAGCCAGGACCTTAATTTTTTGAATCAGGAATGGGTTGGAAAAATAATTAGAAATTGCCCATAATAGGAATACAACATAGACCAAGCTCATAAACAGAACTACTTATGTTTTATTCCCAAAGAAGACTTAGAGGATGTTTTTACTTGGACTGTTTTCAGTCTCAGACCAGACCAGTTCAGACAAGACCAGACCCGACTTCTATAGTTATAAAATACACAGAGACAAGACGTTTACCAGACCAGTTCAGACCAGACCAACAAATTTCAGTCCAAGTAAAAAACATCCTTATTTTGTCCTGATAAAGAATAATAATGGTTAAAGTCTCTCTCTTTTTAGGAGTGAATGAGTCATTTTTTGGGAAAGCAATGGCGGTCCTATTTTGGTTTGGTCCTATCCAGGGAACTTTCTAAAAAATAATTCATTAAGTTTTTGTCCCAAAAGATATTACATATGAAGAGATGGGTTTTTACCTAATTTTGGGCGGCTTGGGCCTGGGTTGGCCTCCTAGCTATGTCCGGACTATGGGTTGCATTGTGTGTAAACCTATGAAAACTAGGGGAGCTAATTGTTGGAGCATATTTCGGACAACCTATAATCTTGATAATAAGCTGTTGTGAAAATGCTGCATTTGGGAGCGGCAGCTGTAATCTGTAATCCATTTATTTGAAAAAGTTTCTTTCTTGAATATGGAAATTTGTAGGTTATGATTATTCTACTACCTTTTGTTCTCTTTAAGATATTTTTCACACTTTTTACCTTATAAAACCTGTTATTTTGTTGCAAGGCTGCACCTAAAAAAAATTAATTAGTTCCACAACACTATTTAGCAACCTTACCAAACAAAAATTGATTATGATTATAATTGATTGCAGCATAATCGATTATACATATAAATTATGTAATTGATTGTTGAATTAATCTAATTTTTAGCTATCTCAAACAAGCTCTTTCCAGTTTGCATGTAATATGTTCCTTAAAATTTACTTCCCGTACTACACAATGGTTTTTGTTTCAACCCCTTCACTTGATTCTTGTTTTGCATGGTATGAAGCTCAAGTACATTAGCAGGCACTGTGAGCACCCTCATAACGGCGCCCATTGATATGGTTAAAACTCGTCTTATGTTGCAACGCGAATCTAAGAGTGCTGGGAGTTACAGAAGTGGACTACATTGTGCATATCAGGTGCTGACTCTTTCTCTTTCAGCGTAGGATAGTCACTTACATTTTTTGTAAGAGCATAAGCTTTTCTATTTGTAGCTAACATTCCTATAACTGTTATTTCAGGTACTCCTCAGTGAAGGTCCTCAGGGTCTTTACAAGGGGTAAGTTGACTAATGACTGTACCAATTGATATCTCCGTACGTGCATATTTTCTGCTTGTTATCTATTAATTGACTAGTACTTTGACCCTCATTATAGTGTGATAATATTTGAACAATGCATTTATATCAACTGCATTACTTTGTTTTTGTAACAATGACTGCACCGTGCACCTTAATTTCAAGTGACCTCTAGAGGTCCTTGATAGCAACCATTTGGAAGGAAGAAAATTAGGGGAACTACTTAGCAGGGAGCGTGAGTCCTTTGTTACAGACAAGGGAACCAATTAGCATGAAAGGTGGATCTTATATCAGCTAGTGCTGATCGGGATATGTTTTATATCTGCTTAGGTTAGTTACTTCTTTCATCTAATGGTCACTTACAAATATCTTATTTCCTACTCCTTTGTGTTATGTACCATGTGCTCCTGAGGCTCCAGAAACATCTTTATTACACTCTACATTCGTATAGTTAGGGCATTCCTTGACTCATTTTAGAGCCCAATAATCCACTCTATGTATCAAAACACTAAAAATGCGTCCAAACCAATGCTGTCTTGTTCTTGCTTTCCATATATTTAATAGTCTCTACTCGCCTAGTTCCACTTTCACATGGATCTCCTTATTAGGAACCCCTAAACATTCACATTTCTGATACACTCATCTTCTTCATTAAATCTTTCTTATTAGTCCAACATTCATATCCATATAGTTTAAAATCCTTCAGAATTAGGGCATGCCAATATATTTCATAATTAATTTAATGTTCATAAAGATTTTGTTTTAGCCGTAGAGGCATGCCTATATAAGCTTATTGGTTGAGAAGTTAGAGTTTTCAACTTTTCATTATTAAGTTAAGTTTGACATGAATCAAGAGTAGTTGACTTTGCACTATGTGTATTTATGTAGTCTTTAACTCTTTAAGTCATGCATTGTTGGTTGCCGATATATTCAGTGACGGGCATGGAGAATTTGGTGTGGTGGGGGGGCAGTGTATTACCACGAGGATATACTGTTAACAGAACCACTCCCTCTGCCCCAAGACCCCAAAAGATGATTCCCTTTCAAGAATGTCACATCATAACATGATAAATAATATGTCGCATGGCTCTAAATCTCACACTGAGAAGACGATGGCCACACTTTCTCTTTGTTTTGGCTTTCATATGTGAGTGACTTGGTTATGAATGTTGAAATATTTATATGTTGGCAGAGGCCTTGCGATATTTGCAAGGTTGGGTCCTCAGACTATGATCACCTTTATAGTTTGCGAAAAGCTGCGCGGACTAGCAGGATTAAACGCAATGTAAGGCCTTCATGGTTGTATTTTTATCCTTATCTGGTGCTTCTTGCTGCTGGCTGTTGAATATGCTGTTGGTACGAACATCTCTCAACCTGACCAGATTATTATGTTTCCCCCCTTTATATACATATAGATACAATCTATTTGTCCCAGTACATTTTTCCATTTTTTGGTTGATGATGGAAAATGGGTATAGTTCTGAAATAGAAGTGAATATTTGTATTTGGATTAGGTTCCAACATCCATCATCACTAGCTAACCATTCTTCCAATAAACTTTTGTAGATGAAAATAAAATATTTTCCTCAGTTGGAGGACTTGTATGTATTTATATTTGTTGTAACTTTAATACATTAGAGATTTTGTTTTTCTTACTCTCAGGCACATTTGAAGTTTGTTAATTATTAAATGCTATAAATGTGTAATGAAATGCTCGTATGCTTGGTATAATGCTCATTAAAATAGACAGATCTTATCATTGCTAGTTATGGGTGAGGATTCTGTAGTATACTTGGTTAGTTAGATTTTAAAAATAAACGAAAAGTATTTATGTATTAAAATGTTACTCTTAATACCTAATCAATCACAGCAATGATACACACGACAATTAAGTACAATAAAGTACAGTACATCTGGTTTTCTTCGTCTTTTGATGGTTAAACAGTACTAATCAGTCTACAAAATAATTGTTGTGAATTAATTTTATATTAAGAGCGCAGAAGATCTACTATGAATTAAGCAAAATAATAGTATGGAGTTGGAGGATGTTTGGTTGGAGTAAATTTGGGAAATGCATCATGTAGGCAAAGTATATACTGGTTTAAAAATACCTGCACGGGTAGCTCAGTTGGTCGAGCGGTGGGAAAAATTGGATGTACACTAAGGTTCGAATCCGGCAGCGGTCAAAAGGGGTTTTCAGAACCTGAAATAAGGCTGGTCCTCTGGTGCGCACGGATAAAGGCCTACTGCCGCTTTGATGATTGAGTCAACGTGATTAACCTCCCCACCATCCTGTCGGGTAGGGTGGGGGCCATGGCATCAACCTTTTGGACGTATACTGGTTTAAAATGATGGGAGAGCACGGTTGACTTGGTTTAGTTGTTTTTTGTCATCTTTGAAATAAATGGGAAGTGATATTCCTTTTATTAGAGTCAAAACAGTAAATATTGAACTTGGTAACCACATCATGGAAATCTGCTTGAATTGGAACTTTTGCAGTTTGCGTTGAAATGGGAAGGCAGTGTTCCCTATGAGAAATTTGCTCCTAGTAGGACCAAATCATAGCTCTTTTACAAAAATAATACCTGCTAATATTTTTTCCATTCATATTACCTATTTAGTTCTAGATTAGGAAACCTATTTCTAACTTTCCAAATTTGCTTTTCAGGACTTTGCTCCCAGATTCACCGATTGAAGTTCAACGCCTCCACCTTCTTCCTTGTTTGCTGCCCATTTTCGATTTTGCGGCCGTCGCGACAAACCACCGCCGTTGTCAGACGCCGCCGCCATTGCCAGACCTCGTCGCCGCCGTGCCTGTGCCGCCAAACATCGTCGCCACCTCGTCGCCATCAAACAGCTTCGCCGCCAAGGCCTCCACCATCACCGCCGGATCTTGTGTCTGTAACTTCGTCCGCCGACCTAGCTTCGGAGGCGGAGACCTGAAGACGGAGCTGCGTGGATCTGGATTTGCGAAGGACAAATGAGATAGAGTCGGGAGTAGATGGGAGCAATTTTCTTCATTGTTTATTTAATGTCTACTTATTGTATATTTATTGTCTATTTAATGTCTGTTATTTTCTAAAAGTAAGGGTATTGTGGTCAATGCAGGTGTACTTGAGTCTTACCCTAATTTTCGGTCTTAGTTTTGGAAAATCTTCACGTTTTGCTCCTATTTGTTGAAATCTACCTTCTCTTATTGGAGGAGGAATATGCGGGACAGTCTGGCGTCTTTAACATTTATAGCCATAGCCCATACGCCTCCTCTTTTGCACTTGTCTTACCCCTCGACAAAAAACATTTCTTAAAGCCACTTCCTCGGTCTCAACTCTCAAGTCACTCCCAATCGATTATTCCATAAAGTTTTAGAATTTCAAAATGGGTAATTCTATATACACTCCCCTTTTTACTAAACACACACCCCCCATTTCGGTAATAATATTTTTTCTTCATAAACCCATTTATGCCCCTGATCCTATAAGCCACCACCGTGTGCGCCATTACCATGGAAAATGAACACAGAAACAAGGTCATCTCCATTATGAGGTTTGGTGTCACATACTCACATCTTGCGTTAAATACAAACTCATCCTTTAAAAAGTAGACCGTGAAATTCAATTGGGAGGATAAAGTTGTGATCCGGAGAGAAAAAATCTACGACGAGCTTCTCCCTGTGGTGTTGATGCGATGGATTGAACTTCGGAATTTGACGATGACCGATGTAGAATCCTTCTAGAGTTGCGATTGGTCCTGGCAATTGCTCCTGATCAATTGCCGGTGCAAAGAAGATGAACAACTACATTGTTGATTCTGCTATTGTATTAAGAAGGCCACAAAGGAACCAGAATCCTGAAGAGGCGTAGACTGATTTCCGGTCAGAGGAGGGATCCACTTTGTTGTCGTTTGAAAATTGGAACGCCGTCTTCGCCGGAGAAGATGACAATGTCGCTGTTGAAGGTCGGTGGTCGGAAAAGAAGATGAAAGGTGGTGCTGTCAGAGGTCAACGTCATCCAGCAGTTGATTCTGTCAGAGGTTAAGATGTTGCCGCCGGCGGTCAGTGGTCATAGGCTGAACTCGAGATCAATTTTAGATGAAGCGTGGGTTGCAGCGGGCTATGGTGGAATTTCGGAGTCGTCGTTGCTTTTGATTTCTTCCGGATCTGCTTTTATCATCACCAGAGAGTAGGCTTCCCTAGTCTTCTTGCGTGTAACACAGATGAGTCGATGAAACGATAGTTATGTATTGCAAGGGTAATTCAGAGATTTGATTATTTTTAATTATTCTTAGTTAATTTAGTGGTTGTGTTTAGTAAAAATGAGGCTGTGAATAGAAATACCCTTTCAAAATACCATAAATATGTTGTTGGGCTAAGAATATTATGACAGTACTTATTTACATTTTAGAGTCATTACTGTCAAAATATTTGCAGTATTAATTATTAAACATAACATTAAAATTACCTAAACAGAAGTTAAATTCAGTGATGATTATTATCCTTTTATTCTATTAATAGGATTACATAAATCATAACTTTATGGAGGAAAACACTCCTAATCATTTTTTAGATTTTTTCATATGTTTAACTTTCATTTTGAGCAATTTCCTATAAATTTTAGGTTATACATATAGGAGCAAAGTTGAGATACGTCATCGCCGTAGTTAAAGTGAAGCATTGAAATGCTACACATCAGACAAAAAAATCAAGAAGAATAGCAAATATATAAAGGCATTAAAGTTAATGCCTTTAAATGGTGTTCGACATTCCTCGAAATAGATAAATTCCTCAATCAATGTTTTTTAATCAAAAGCTTAATTATCAGAATTATCTCATTTTATTTTCATACTTCGTACAAAATATAAAGTATTATAGTCATGTCACTTTGGATTCCTATTTTTAAGAGTTGGACTTGCCTTCAAAATTTCAGAGTTTCGTTTAAAAGTATAAACAATCATTCGTAATAAAGACTTTTTAATTAAAATTTGAGAAAGCAAATTTTACATTTTCTTATATTGGGGGGGATTGATTTTTCTGATATATATATATATATATATATATATATATAAATATAATAATAATAATAATAATAATAATAATAACAATAATAATAATAAATTCTTGGGGGGTGTGGCCCCTTGGGTCTCTACTAAGGTCCGTCAATGTCATTATGACAGTATTTCTCAATTATGGTAACAGCTCCTATTTCAGAAAAAATATAGCAATCATATTTTGTAATTCTAAAACTTATTTACTCTTATTTAGGGCAACTTCGCATAATATATCCATAATAGTTACATGTAATATGTCACATGGTCACATGTTAAATAGCATGTCACACGACACTAAATAAGTTTCTTATTCAAGAGTCAAGACAATGCACACACTAATTTTTCTTTATTTTATCTTTCATATGTGATTAGACCGAATAAACGGTTTTTCCCTAGAATATTACTAAATTAATATCAATTTCCAAAAAAATGACCTTTTTTTAAAAGGACAAAAATATGACTAAGAAAGTCATATATTTGGTACATGACGTCACTGTAATAAATTTATGTCACTATCAAATTTTTTTGTCACTTTTGAAATGTCACTATTGATTTTCATGTTACTTTTAGATGTCACTATAACCGGAACACGTGTCACTGTGTCGTCGGAAAATTTTCCGACGACTTTTCGCCATCAAAGTTTTTGCTAGAAACCGTCACCCTGTTGCCTCGACACCGCCTTCATAGCGTGAGACCGCCTTACGGCCCCTTACCCACCCCATCCCCTTACTCGAGCCTCACCCCCCCCCGTCCCCTGCTCCCCCAACTCCTTCCTCCTTCCCTGCACCACCAGCCCCCTCCCCTGCACCCCCATCCCCCTCCCTTGCACCCCAGCCCCTCCCCTGCACCCCAGCCCCCTCCCCGGCACCTCTAGCCCCCACCCCCAGCTCTCCTAGCCCCCCACAGCTTCCAAGCCCCGCCCATTGCCAACCCCACCGCCCAGCAGCCGCCACCACCTGACTTGCCCCATCTCCGCCCCAATGCTTCCTAGCGCCACCCAATCCCTGCAAGTTGAACTAGCCCCCTGCCCCCTACTCGCCCCAACCCCAAAAACCACAGCCACGCCTCGCCCCATCCCCTAACCCATATGTGACACGCCCTAGCCCCAACAGCCCCCACTCGCCTCAACCTCCTCATGAACCACCGTTGGATATGAAATCGCCGTCAGTTTATCGGAACCCTAGATCTAATAATCAGCGTCGCCGGTGTACAAGACGAGAGAGGTGAAGATGGCGAACAACGATGGCGAAGAGGAGCAATGAGGAAGAAAAATGAAATTCGCGAAGAAGAAAACGTCTGAGAGGAGAAAGTCTTCACTGCGGTGGTCACCTCTTGGTAGACGGTGAAGGAGAAAGTGTGAGAGGAGGAGGAGAAAGTCTGAGAGGAGGAGGCTATCGCGAGGAAGAAGAGAGCGCAATTCGTGCACGAGGATGAACGGGAGTAAGGGAAGGGGTTATTAAATCACTTTTTTGTCCAGCTCAATGATGGATAGTCTACCCGGGGGTATATATCCGAGGGGTTATCGCGGGGAACAACTTAGAGAGAAGTCAGAGCAAGTAAGTGAATGTAGAGAGAGAGAGTGTATTCAGTATGAATGTCGTGGTTACAAATGGGGAAATGCGGTGCTATTTATAGTAGCAATAAATGCCGGACAGGGACACGTGTCAAGCGCTCATTGGCCGAGGGGTCACCTCAACTGGTTGGCGCTGGCAGCCGCATGTGGCCGCATTTAATGCGGCTGTTGGATGGGACGTCTGTGCAGGGTACGGTGATCTGTACGCATGTGAGGCGGATATCTTGTCGAGTGAGATGCCTTCGGCTATAGAGCAGTAGCCGAGGGCTCCTCCAACCGATGGCACCCTGGTGCCGAGGGCTCACAGTGCCGAGGGCTACTGTTTTCGCCGTTTTCTCCCAGTTTCTTAATTTGCTTGAGAAACCCGTTCTGTGAGAGTTTAGAGCCTTCGGCCAGGGGGCCGAAGGCACCCCTGGTGCGTATTGTGGGCTGCTTGGTACTCTGGGCGCCGTGATTTGGGCCTGTTGGGCCTTCGCTGGAGTAGTAGGAGTCTGTGGGCCGGGGGTTCCCGGGCCATATACTCCATCAGGAGTCCCTCACTCCTTTTGCCGAAAGGTACTTGAGGGAAAAGGAGTAATTTGTGCTTGCCCTTTGATGTTGTCCTGTCGTGATCTCTGCAGTTGGTGAGGAGTTGTTGCTTTTATGTCCCTGCCGAAGGCAGTCCCTCAGTTACCCACATGTCGGGACTTGAGGGCTTGCTTTGTCGTTTGTTGGAATTTCACTAATTTTGTAATTTAATGATTCTCCCGAGGGGGTCCTCCAGTCCCCCACTCCTTGAGGCACTTGTAAAGTGGTGAAAAGGAGTAGAGTAGTTGCGTTGCTGTTGTGGGCCGAAGGCTGACGCTTTTCGTTTCATTTTGGGGGGATGCCTCGTTAAAAACCTCATTAGGAAAAACCCTGGGGGAAAAAATCCTAATGAGGGAAAAAGAGTGCACCGAATTCCCCCAATGATGAATCGAAAGGGTCAAACCTTGGTCAAAAATGGAGAATAACGGTAATGCCGAAGGCTCTTCTTTTTCTGAGGGCTCATGTGTTGATTAGCCGAAGGCTTGCTGTTGATATCCTGGGGGTGCCGAAGGGGAGCCCCTCAATCCGGGGATCGAGGGCCTGCTGGATGAGGGCAGCAATGGAGTTGTTACCGGGGGGGTCCACTGTTTGTTGATTAGTTGGTGATGAAGGTACCCGAGGGCTCCCATTACCTGTGTGCCATGGGTTATCCGTCAATGAGGCAACTCCCCGGGGGCTACCCGGTTTTGCAGTGCTGAGGGGGAATCCCCGAGGGGTGCCCTGATATGAAGCCCTGGGTTCTGGAGGAGTGATCCCGAAGGCATCTGCTATGTGCTATGTGGGGCACAACCCGGGGGCGCCTCTGGGTAAGTGTACCCGGAGGCTCTCCTTGGTGTAGCGGAGTGGAGTAGGAAACCCGGGGGCTTCCAGAATATAGCCGTTGGAAATATAGCCGTTGGAATATGTAACGTCAGGATATAGCCGTTGGGGGGGGCACACGTGGCGTGTGATGACTGGCTGTCCGTGGGCGGCATCGCTGGTTGGGTGAGGACGCGGTGTGTAATGATGGCGGTCCATCCGGAGGCCCGGAATTCAGGCCCAAG